ATTTAATACTTTGGAAGGAAGATCCAAATAGCGCAATGCTGTTTCAATTGTCATGTGTTGATTCTGCAGTTCATTGCTGCAATATCTCATGCAAGACGACACCTCAAATTTATCAACACATCAACAAGACCACTTGGTGTTTTACTTGATAAACTATTGCAATATATAAACTTCAACAGGTCCATCAGAGCGGCTTCTTCTGCTCAATAAAATTGACAAAGGCAAACACACATTAAGATTTGGTTTTATTACTTGATTCAATCAAAGAAAGAAATGTAGTGGAATGAACTTTCTCACAAGAAAGTAAAAATTAATACTTACCCGACTCATGAATTTGTACAATTACATACCGTTGCTCTTCTGTGCCATTCGAAAGCAACTAATAAGAAAACAAATAGTTGAAATTAAAAATAAAACAAGGAATGCCAATTGAAGGGAAAATGTATTGTATTAAGGAGTACTCACCTTAAGAATAGGAGAACTGATATTTACCGTTCTCAAATTAAGAGGATGACTTTTAGTCATCACAATGTTAGGAGGCAATTCCTCAAGCCTTCCTATAGCTGCTTCTTCTCGTTTGTCATCAACATTAGACAAGTGAAAGAGATAATAATCATACAAAATGAAATAATTACGAAAAGGCAAATAAGTAACAGTGCAGAACTCCCAAATAACCATTTCAAGTTATATCTAAGTTTCAGCATCGAACATGACCATATAAAAACGAATTCAAATGCTCATTCAGTCTTACATTTTCTTTAACAAAAAAGAGAAAATGCAATCACATCCCATACAAGCGAAAAAAACCGTAAATCCATAAACTGTCTTTCGCATAACAACTACTTCTATAATTCAAGTCTAAGTTAGTTGAATTTAGCTATATGAATCATCTACATTGCTTCCACTTCATTCTAGTGGTAAACTTACCTTTTTCATCCATTAATCAAAATGGAATTTCCAAGTGAAAAAACCCGATTTCAAACCTATGATTAGAAACCAAAAATTTATGGACTAAAAGATGTTATAAACTCTATTTATTTAAAATTGTAGGTATTTAACCCTAATACAGAAGTTGAAAACAGTCCATTTTATTTCTTGTTTCTTCTCCTCCTATAACAAAAACTCTATGGTAAATTAATTAGTGTGTGTTTTTTCATTTATGAAAACAATCCAAGGCAAAAAGATGTTAAACTTTTATGCAGAATGAAAGATCTAATCGTTTTCTTCTGTTTAAAAGCAAAAATCTGTGGACAAAAAGATATTAAACCCGATCTATTAAAAATGTAGGTTTTTTACTCTAGCACAAAAGTTGAAAAACAGTCCATTTTATTTCTTGGTTTCTTCTCCTCCCTTAACAAAAATTCTACAGTAAAATTAGTGTTTTTTTTTTCATTCATGAAAACAATCCAAGGCAAAAAGATGTTAAACTCTTGTGCAGAATCAAAGATCTAATCGTTTTCTTTTGTTTAAAAGCAAAAATCTATGGACTAAAAGATGTTAATCCCAATTTATTAAATATGTACGTGTTTAACTCTAATATAAAAGTTGAAAAACAGTCCATTTTATTTCTTGATTTATTCTTCTCCTATAACAAAAAATCTATGGTAAAATTAGGGTTTTTTTTTAATTCGCCAAAATAATCCATGGAAAGATGTTAAACTCTTATGCAGAATCGAAAATCTAATCGATTTCTTCCGTTTAAAAGCAAAATCTAGATTTTTTATCTGTAATGAAATGAAAACATAAAATCAAATCGTCAAGCATTCAAAAAAACAAACATTTCATGATGTTTTTTTTCTCACACAAAAACTGCACCCAAAAATGAAATAGAAAATCAAATCATCAAGCATTCCAAAAAACAAACATTTCAAGATATTTTTTCTTTTCTCACACAAAAAATGCACCCAAAAATGAAATAAAAAATGCAACTACAATCTAATTTAGATTTTTTATCTGTAATGAAATGAAAATAGAAAATCAAATCATCAAGGAATCCAAAAAAACAAACATTTTATGATTTTTTTTCTTTTTTCACACAAAAAATGCACCCAAAAATGAAATAAAAAATCAAATCATCAAGCATTTCAAAAAACAAACATTTCATGATTTTTTTTCTTTTCTCACACCAAAAATGCACCAAAAAATGAAATAAAAAATGCAACTAAAACCTAATTTAGATTTTTTATCTGTAGTGAAATGAAATGAAAACAGAAAATCAAATCATCAAGCATTCAAAAAAACAAACATTTCATGATTTTTTTTTCTTTTCTCACACAAAAAATGCACCCAAAAATGAAATAAAAAATCAAATCATCAAGCATTCCAAAAAACAAACATTTCATGATTTTTTTTTCTTTTCTCACACCAAAAATGCACCCAAAAATGAAATGAAAAATGCAACTAAAACCTAATTTAGATTTTTTATCTGTATTAATGAAATGAAAACAGAAAATTAAATCATCAAGCATTAAAAAAAAAAAAAAACATTTCATGATTTTTTTTCTGTTCTCACACCAAAAATGCACCCAAAAATGAAATAAAAAATCAAATCATCAAGCAATCCAAAAAACAAACATTTCATGATTTTTTTTCTTTTCTCACACCAAAAATGCACCCAAAAATGAAATGAAAATGTAACTAAAATCTAATTTAAATTTTTTATTTGTAATGAAATAAAATGAAAACAGAAAATCAAATCATCAAGCATTCAAAAAAGCAAACATTTCATGATTATTTTTCTTTTCTCACACCAAAAAATGTAACTAAACCTTGAATCATCAACAATGCAGCAACCTTCTAGTTTGAGCTCCATTGAATTCGGTACGATCTCTATCATCAACACCCGATCTGAGTAATTCCTGTCATTAAACGTAAATTCATAGTCCGGTTGAGATTCTGATATATTCGAAGTAAGTAGAAAATTCATTTTCAAAATTGAATCGAAGCATAAAGTGTTTTTCACAGAGAAAATTGGAGAAATGTAGTTGGGAATTGAAGAAAACCAGTGATTGAAGCACTTTAAATAAGTGTTTTACTTCTTTGTTTTTGTAATTATCTTAATCAGTTACAAAATTTACTGATTTCCATGGTTGTTTGTCTAGTAATGCAAATAAAACAAAATATAAAAACCAAATTCAAAATTAGTTCTTTTAATTTATACCTTTTTTCTTGTTTTCTTCTTCTTTGAGTAGTTGAATGACATCGCTCTAAATTTCTCCAAATCACTAATTTGTATCGAAACTTTCAAAAGCATTAAATTCATAACTCTGTTTTTTTTGTTTTTTTTTGTTTTCTGTCATTGAAGAAGTTCTTCATAGCTCCATTGAATATCATTATTTCACAGTAATTCCTCTCATTAAAAGCAAATGAATAGTCCAGTAGTGTGTACCCAAAGCCATTAGAGTTTTTTCACAAATTGAATCAATGCAGAGAAATTTAAGAAAAACCTCAAATGTTTACCAGATTGAGATAACACTATGAATTTCAATTTTTACTTTTATTTTTTTTTGTATTTATGCCAAATCACAAAATCAGTTACAAAATGAACTTCAGTGATTCTTTGTCTTTTACACATAACAACTCAAATATAAAATATACTATTACTGTTATGTGTGTAACTGATTAACGAAGGTGGTATGCTTGTACTGTCTTTTTAATATTTTTATATATTAGTTTTTAGGACACATGTGCAAATTTGGGCACGTATTTTACACATGTATTTAGGTACGATCTCTATCATCAACACTCGATCTGAATAATTCATGTCATTAAACGCAAATTCATAGTCTGGTTGGGATTTCAATACATTCGAGGTAAGTAAAAAATTCATTTTCACAATTGAATCAAAGCATAAAAAAATTTCGAGAAATTCAGGAGAAATGTAGGTAGGAACTGAAGAAAACCATAGATTGAAGCACTTTAAATAATTGGTTTTCTTCTTTGTTTTTATACTTAATCAGTTATAAATTTTACTGATTTTCATGGTTGTTTGTTCTGTAACACAAATAAAACGTAAAAGAAAGCAAAATTCAAAATTAGTTCTTCTAATTGATACCATTTTTCTTGTTTTCTTCTTCTCTGTTTATATCCTCTAATTGTTATCTATATTTTCAAAAGCAATAATTTCATGACTTTATTTTATTTTATTTTTGCTTCATGCAATAATTTTTAAGAGAAAAAAAATGTTCGTTTACAGTTACAAGATTGTTTTGTATTAATGTTAAATCAATTATAAAGTTACTTACGTTTATCTTGTGATGTTGATTACTTGTGCATTTTTCGTCACAATTGTTTGTCTTCTATATATAAGAGAAAAAAACGATTGTGCACTCATCAAAATAAATTCATACAGTTAAATTTAATTTGTTTTTTTCTTCGTGCAAATTAAAGGCTCTCTATTGATCAAACTCTCTAATTATTATTAGAAATTTGTAAAGATCAAACAATAGATTTTTTCACACAGAGTTGAATCAAGTAAGAGAAATAGACTCACATGGTAAATGAAAAATATTGTGTAGTTTATACACAACTAATTTGAAAAAAATCATATTTAAATTTGTTTTACTTTTTTTTTTTTTGTATTTAAGTAAATTAGTTACAGAGTAGTGCAGATTTCGTGAGAATTAATTGTCTTTTAATGAGGTAAGAAAGAAAAAGAAAAAAAAAAAAAATCAAAATTCAAAATTAGATCTTTCAATTGATACCATTTTTCTTATTTTCTTCTTTTTTGTGTTATTGGAGAGCATTGCTCTGTATTCTCTAATTATTATAGAAATTTACAAAATCAATAATTTCATTACTTTATTTTTTTTTCCTTTCTGCAATAATTTTCAAGAGAAAAAATGAATTCATATATTTATTTTTTTTGTATGTACAAGAGTAAAAAGAAACAAATGAAAGCTCATCAAAATGGGTTCTTACAAAGTAAAGAGATTACCTTTAAAAATCACAAAACGATGTAATTATAACTACGCCTCAGTCCCAAACAAATTAACGTCAAACTATGGAAAACTTGGTCCTTCAAGTATTGGATGAGTTCTTGTAACCATAGCAACAGGCATTTTGCTTCTACCAACAATAACACTTTCCAAAATCTCACCTTCTTCTGCTTCTCTTTCCATTTCACATGTTTTCTTGGATTTATAAATTCCCAACACCATCCTTCCTACAAGAGCCACCAATCCCACACCTAATAGCCCGATAACGAAACCGATAACCAAAAAACCCCGTATTCTCTTCTTCTTCCTTGTCTCTGAAGGTAACACTATAGTGAAATGACCATGATTTCTTGTGTAACATAAGTTGGGAAACCTCATTACACTAAGTGAAACTTTTCCATTTTCATCAAACATTGCACAGTACTTTGTTGTTCTTCCCTTGATCATCTCTGTTAAATTCTTGAACTCGATCGATATAGGTTGTCCCATTGGTCTAAGATCAAGCTTTCTAAGACTTGTGATGGTGCTAATATGTGATGGTGCATCATAAACAATGAAACCAATAACAGAAGTCAAGAGATTGTAACCTGATATGTTGAAGTAATGAGTAGACAAGTTTCCCATATCATTGTACACAATATGGATTCTTTTGACATAAGGCACTGGAATTGTTCTTGGAGGAATTGAAAATCCACTAAAGTTTGCACCTTTTTCCCACAATGTCCTGCTTCTTAACCTCACTAATGTGAGTTTCATTCCTGCTAAACTTGAAGGAACAGTAGCATTATATAAAGATCCAGTATGTTGATGAATCAAAGTATTGAAAGCATGTTCATGAAGAATAATATCTAATGATTTCGTAAGGCTGTTATTATTAGAACATTGAACAAGAACAAAGAGTTTCAAGAAGAGGAATGACAAAAGCATGTAAAAGGTCTGCACAAAATTTGATCTCCTTGGCCATTGTGATCCATTCTTCGGTTTCATTGGATTTGGGCAACTATTTGGTTTGCTTTACTTTTCAACGGTATGAAGGACTTTGAGCTTGGAAAATGGCTGAAATTGAGGAAGAAACAAGGGTTGGAGGTGGAAAGTCTTTCTCTTTTGGACTAAAAGTAGGACTATAACCAAAGGTGTGATAATGAAGTGGGTGAAAATCGTGGAAAATCGAGATGATCCGAATTCCAGTATAAACAAAAGTGGGGTCTGAGAAGGATAGAATATACGCAGACTTCATCATTATCAATAAAAAGAAAAAAGGAGTAGGGTTATATGCTCAAACTCATGCTTAAGTTGGTCCCATTAGCATAATAATAATAGGAATTCCACCTTTAGGGTGAAGCAATGATGACTTTGTCTGTTGATAAAAGAGACCATAGATATTCCATAGAATGCGGAAATTATCATTTATCATATGGACTTTAGTGCATGTTCTTTTGTATTTTTGCAGACAAATCTTTATAAGAAGTTGGAACAACTAGGATTTATATGGACAGTTTGATGAGTACTCAAGAAAGCCATGATCTAGGCTGTAACTTCCATTGCACAACCTGTGATGTGGAAACCTGTCAAACACGTAACTGCGTATTTAAAAAGTGTTTCAGCTGAACCAAATAGTCTCTTGAACTCCCTAGGAGCATTTTATTCTTCAATGTCAAAGAGTCAAAGAAGAAGACATGATACAACAAACATAACAGTCAGTTAAAAAACATTACCATCTCGAGCAGCTACACGAGTATGTCACCATTCTCATCACTGGACATTGTCACTGATGTCTTGTTATCTCAGGACGCTCAGCCCAGCTTTTCCTCATTAACCAGCCTTATGATTCTCATTATAGAATGTAGTGCCCAACAGCTTATGGAAAGGGTGGCATTGCTCTCTTCTGCCACCCCGAGGTGCAAAGAGTACCTGCATTAGGTCAATCTGAAAACCAACATTTACTGTGTATGCTGGAAGTTCAAACACAGCAGACAGTTAAAGTTTGTAATGCATTGAAAATCTAGCAGAATTGGTATCCACAAGCCAAAATAGAATTTGAAGCTTTGAAGGAAAGTACTTAAATACACATCCCAAAGCCACTGGAATCAGCATGATCAAAGTCACTAAAAGATCAAAATATGAAACTACTCAACAAGTTTGATTTTACTAATTTACAACAGTGCAACTATGGCAACAGGTAAACAACATTATAGCCCACAAAACTCTAGCTCATATGTGGAGCACTTTAAGTAAGAAAGTAAGATACCATTACAAGGTAAAAAATTCCCAGGACTACGGCTTTCTATACCCTGACTCTAAGCTCTGCGCGAAGATGGAGAATTCCATTGATGAAGAATAAACTATCTTCAGACAGAAACGGGGTCCAAGCTACACCAAACAGGTTCCTGTAGCCAACAGCCTTGCCACTAGTAAAGGTGTAGTCTCCCTTGTACTTGCTCACATATTCCTCACCTGGACTGATACGAGCTGCAAACTCATAATCAACTGCAAATGACACTGACCCCTTCTCTTGCATGCCCAGAAACAACCCGAAGCAATGGAATGCACTTTGATGATCCATGTTGCAATGAGCTGACAGGAAAAACCCCTGTCCACCCAAATGGAAAGCCTGCGAATAAACTCTACCAGCTGGAAAGAGGCTAGCACACTCGTCTCTTTTCAAATCTAGGTATATAACACACTGCTGACGAGGTGTTTCAAACTCAAGAGCTTTAATAGGTCTGTACTTGTATGCCCGCTCCACATAACCATGGTACAACGCATTCCCCGCCTCGGCAGCAATTGACCGCTGCCGATACGGTGCTTCGGCCTTATAAAAAAGAGCCTCGAAAACAAGCTTTGAAGCAAGCTTGGGATCAAAGTCATTGCACATCATGACTTTCTTCAGCTTCCTGCATGTCATGCATGGAAATCGAATGAGGTGAAGAAGATGTGAGCTCCATACTTCCCGTCGTTCCTCAAGTTTTGGGTAATGCATACGAGCCCACTTCAACACAAAGTCAAAGACAGCATCCTCTGAAGCAATTTGAAGATTATCACTGGACAAAACAGCCTCAATTCCCGAAAGAGGTAGACTCAATACATCTTCTTGGAACCTGAAGGATTTAAGGAAAAAGAATGCAAATGAAGATACTTTTTTTCTCAAATTCAACCAAACCATAGAGAACAATGTCTACATAGAGCTACTCACTTGGTTATGTCCTTGAAACGTTGAGCAAGAAACTGTTTTGCAGCATCTGTTAATGGCTGAACTTCATCAGCCACTAATATATTGAAAGGAAGATCCAAATAGAGCAATGCTGATTCAGTCGTCATGCGTAGATTCCGCAGTAAGTGGCTGCAGTATTTCATGCATGACGCAACCTCAAATTTGTCAGCAACCATCATCACATCAAGCACAGCAGTAGGTGTTGTAGCTGAAAAAGTATTACTATACATAAAATTCAAGAGATCCATGAGCGCAGCTTCTTCTGCTCAAAAAGTTGAGAAAGGAAAAAGTTAGTTCTTTTGTCAACTAACAACAGAAGAAAATATATGCAGATAATTTTTTCTTAATACAAAGGGGAGACAAATAAAGAGGTGGGCAGGATATTTTGCACATAATTAAAACCATCAAGTGTAAAGAGAATACTACTAAACTTGCAAACATTATACGCGATAATCCTTGTCAAATTGACTCTTCAGGAGTATCTTATATAAAATTCATGTCAAGGATCCCATAATAAAAAAAAATTAAAATATTGGATACATGTGCCGCGCTAAGGCTATTAAATACAGAAATTCCTAGACCCTAGTGTGGTGTTTACTTATCTAGTTGTTTGGACTTTGGCAAACCTAGGAAGATCTCAATTTTCATTCATTAGTAGTACGTAGTATGATTTCTATTGATGATTGAAGAACATAAACAGAAAATGTATCTGGTTCGTACAAAATTCAAATTTCCTATTAGAGAAAATCTAGTTATTCTAAGCTTTTAACCCTAACAATAGCCACTGAGAGCAGAAGCAGATGGTTCATCTATTGACAAACATTGCATTCTTTTAAACCCTGCCTTGAGAAGGAAATGTAGTTGAAATAAAGTACTTACCCGACGCATGGATTTGTATAGTTATGTTCCGTTGCTCCGACTCTTTCATACCATTTGAGAACAACTACGAAGAAAACAAATAGTTGTAAAAAAAACATGGAATGATTAATTAAGGCAAAAAGTATTACATTAAGGACTTCTCACCTTGTAAAAGAATCGACTCTTAGCCGCCAAAATGGGAGAACTGATATGTAAAGTTCTCACACGAAGGGGGTTTGAGGAGTCCATGTCCGTAGATGAATCGTCATTTTCAGACTCTTCATCATCGCCTATAAAATGCATCAAACTTGTCTAAAAAAACCTAGAAAAATAACCAATGACCACATAGAATAAAAATTAAGAATGCAATTATCACCAACGAACATTTTGTCTTTCCAATTATGAATGCAGAGAATAAACGTAGAAGATTGCGCAATATCAGAATCTAACCTCAGATACTCTGATAATCAGGATTTTATGGATAGAACAAAAATCACTAATGACTGATATCCTTGAAATAGCAGGAAAAAACAGTCCATTATAGGGAAGTGAATAGGTACCAAAGAGATTTGTAGTCATCACTATGCCAGAAGGCGATTCTTCAAGCATTACTACAGCTTCTTCTTCCCGTTCGTCATCAGCAAGACCATCTTCCATTTCTAGAGCAGTACAATTTACTACCTGCTCATCACGTTGCACGACCACATCCGCATCTTACAAGTGAAAGAGATAAGCATACGGAAGAAAATAAATAGGAAACGTCAAGTAATTTGCAAAACTCCCAAATATACAACTAACAGAGAAAGTTTACAAGACGAAGCATATTTTGTTTTCAATAGGCCACAAACTTTTGAGAATGAATTTTTCCATCAGCCACAAAATTAAGTCCACTGTGATTTCAAACAGCCAACAAACAATAGCAGCATCTAGAAACTATAGCATCTGCGACAAAACTTAACTGACAGACACACTTGTACTGGAAAAGGGACTGCAAGATCATAGTATATTAACAACAACAAAATCAATGCTCATCCATTCTAACCTTGATTTTATCAAAAAAGAGAATTCTAATTTGAAGAAGAAAATTGCAGTAGTTATATCTGTAAAGAAAATGAAACCACATCCCACGCAAAGGAAAAAGAGAACAAAAATCCATAAAACGTCTTTCGCCAGGGACAAATTTATGCACTAAAAGTGGGGCACATAAACTCGCGGTCTCTCCATTAAATTAGGTATTTTGTCTCTATATTTTCAAAAATTGGTATAATATTATATGTGGGCACGTGGCACCCATCCTACAAGAAGGTTAAATGATGCACTTGGTTGAATGTTGAGTTATTTACCTAGAGGACTAGGGATCAATTCTTCCTTTAAAACATCTTTCCTTCTTTACTTGGTAGTGCACTCATGTTCTACAAATCCTAGATTCGACTCTATCTTCCGCATAACAATTACTATTATAATTCAACTCTAAACTAGTCGAGTCTAGCTATATGAATTATCTACATCGCTTCCACTCCATTTGGATTCGTAAACTATATTTTCCATCCATTAACCAAAAAGAAATTCCCACATGAAAAGACCGACTTTATATGTATAAACCAGAAACCAAATGGAATAAAAGAAGTTAAACCCTATCTATAAGTGAAATAGGTGTTTCCCTAACAAAGAAGTGAAAAGCAATCCATGTAATTTCATTTAATAGTTCGGCAATGTGATGAGGAGAGTGTGAGAGATTGGCTAGAAATGGATTTAGAAGAGGTAGAGATAGACCGAAGAAGTATTGGGGAGAGGTGATTAGACAAGACATGGTGCAATTGTGGCTTACCGAAGACATGACCTTAGATAGGAAGGTGTAAAGCGCACGAATCATTTTAAAAGGTTAGAAGGTAGGAGTGCGTTCATGCTAGTAGGTAGGAGAGTATTGTCTTGGTGCTCTTACTAGTAGTCTTAGTGCTATGCTTGTAGTTTCTTGTTCTTTGATTTTGTTGATATCCATTGTTTCGTATAGTTCGATTGTAGTATTATTTTGTTGTAGTATTGTTCTGCAACTGTTACTACCTATTGTCTCTTGTACTTCCATTACATCTTTTTCGAGTCTGTTTTTGTCTTGAGCCGAGGTCTACTGGAAACAACCTCTCTACCTCACCTCTCTAAGGTAGAAGTAAGGTCTACTTACACTCTACCCACCTTAGACCTCACGTACACTCTACCCACCTCAGACCTCACTCTATAGGAATACACATTACATTGAGTATGTTGTTGTTCTCTCTTATAACAGTGATTCTATATCATTCATGAAAACAATAAGGGGAAAAAAGATGATATTTTTTGTAATGAATAATAACAGAAAACCAAAACTCTAAAGATTTTAAAATATCAAAACCACTAATCAAGCATTCAAAAAAAGATAAAAACAAACCCTAAATTAAAATTGAGAATAGCAAACCATTTCCTCTTCTGTTGATTTCTTCTCTCCTACGCTTCCGTTTCCGAGCCCAATCAACAACTAAACTCAAACCTTCCTCCTCTGTTTTCAGTTCCGGCAAGTCCGGTACGACCTCAATCATCAATACCCGATCAGAAAAGTTACTATCGTCGAAAGCAAACCCATAGTCCGATTGTGTACCCAACCCATTAGACCCACGCCCGGAACAGATATGGGTATCCATTATCTCCCCGGATATCAAACAGTACAGTTTTTTCACCCAGAATTGAATCAAGTAAGAGAAATTAACACAAACCCAAATGGAAAACGAACAAACATTTCTGAAACCCAAATCGAAAATTGAGAGATTACAGTGTGGATTTCTTCAAAGAATACTTTTTCAATTGGTTTGTTTTGCTGATTTTTGTTTTTTATGTTCAAATCAGTTACTACAAAGTAATTGGAAAAATCAAAAATCAAAAATCAAAACTCAAAACTCAAAATCTGTACTTCCAATTTGTGTTCTTTGGAGTAGGTATGTTGATGAACTTAGTAAATATCTTTGAAGATGTGTATGGAATCTATGAAAAACAATATTTCCGTTTTAATTTGTTTGTGTGAATTTTTTTTGGTGGTAAAACTACTTCATTTAGATAGATACTTTTATACATGTCACGTGAAAAATTAAAATTATTAAAATAAAATAAAAATGAAGAAGGTAAATATTTTTTGAGAACTCAATACGAGTAAGGTGGTAATTTTTAAAAAATCACACCATATAAGGGTTCGTTTAGTTGGGAAATAAATTATTTCATAATTGTTATTTTGAAGTTCATTATCTTAGAATTATTATATTATTTTTAATATGGAATAAAAATAACATAATAATATCGCTTACTAATTATACATCTCACCAAACAAGCCATAAATGTCAAGACTCAAGACTATGTGGAGGAGATGTGATCATAAGTTAATTGTGTGTAACTAAAATATCATCTAATCAATGACTTGCTTATAACATGTTGTACTAATTAAGTTATTGATAAGGATATATATATTGCATTTTAACTTCCTTTTTTAAGATCAAGCAAAACTATATATAGGTTGTTTTATTTTAGCTTTGTCTAGACTTGATTTTCAAATATAAGAAGTTATGTTTGATCTCAAAAACATGTTATTATGTGATTAACTATCGAATTTTAATTAATATTTAATCGTTTATGTTATGTGATTGATTAATGATTAATTAATCCTTATCACTTATTTTAATCCTTGATTTATCAGACATATAAGCGGTCCAACTAATTATCAACACCATTGAAAAAAAGAGAAAAGCAACAAAGACATGTACATAACTTTAGTTTCAAAATACCATTTTCATGATTCTCTTTTCATTGTTTTTCTTTCTTAAATCAGGGGTGGCTCAATAGGACGTACGGAAATTGAATAATTAATAGTTGAGATGTGATTAGATAGACATTTAATGATAGTTTCAATAGGAAAATCACACGCCTGATATATTATATTAGGTATGAAACTAAAAAAAAAACAAATACTTTAAATGTGTTTTTGTCGCTACACTCATTTTTAAACATGTCTATTTGATTGGTTTTATTCCCTATTTTTTTTATATTAAAAACTTACCTAACACGTTTTAGAAAAATAAATTTTAGAAAATTCATGGTTAATACTTCGTCTTATAGCAACTGATGATGAAGTTTAGTTTTAATTTCACTTAGAATATATAACATATTATCTGAATTATATCCATTTTTAAAAAAGAAAAAGTTCTCTCAAAAAGGAAAACATTAGGTTTATTGTGTTCTACGAGTATAACTGAATATTGATTTTTTTTTCGTTCATGTAATTAAAATAAAAAACATGGTTATTGGAATTCAAACTCGTGATACTATGACTCAAATTACAAGTGATCAACTACTCGACTATTTGCATAATTTAGACAAAAATTGAAACTAAACAAATGTTTTCATATAAAATAGGCTATTTACATAAATACAGATATGGGCTTGGATTTTCCTTAAAGCCCAAGTAGCAATTTTTCAATAACTAATCTCAACCCAAAAAGTATAAAAGCCCAACCTAAAGAAAATGGGCTGATTTATGCAAATGTCTTTTTTTAGGCAATTATTTAGATTTTGTTCCTTTTTTTTAGAAGTTGTGCAAATATAGTCACCAAAAAATTACCCTTATGGATACTGTTAGACTCGGGTCTAATGTCTGCTCATATAATGTTCAAGCATTACAAATAAAGTATCGTCTAACGTGCAATAACTTACATATTTTTAGGTCGTTGTCTAATATTTTCTTATACGATTTTTCATAATGCTCACAATAGATATACTAACTATGTTTGTCCCTCCTTGGTTGTCCCTGGATTCCATTATTGAGAAATATATCCACATCTTCTTGTACTAATTTCACGAAAATAACATGAAAAAAGATGGAACATGCAATATTCTATATTACTCCAAAAATGTTCCTTTTTACCTATTTTAAACTTATTAAAGAAGAGTTTAGCATATCAAATCGCATCATTAAAGTATGAACTCATATAGGGTAAAAATTATAATTATATTCCAAACTAGTACTAAACAATAAGAAAGAACCAAATTAAAAGAAGACAAAAGAAGAATAAGGTCATTCAAAAAGATTTGATGATGTTAATATGCACTTAGAATATTTTTTTTTTCCTTCTTTTTCCTAATTAACAACCAAAAAAAGTTTGCTAAATTTAGTTGGTTAATATTAGTACCTTTGGGTCATAATTAATTCATATTTATTCTTTTGTTAGTACAAATCCAACAATTTCTTATCATTATTATTGATTCCAATTTCCAATACAGTACCAAAGTGGAATGCTGTCTTCTCATGGAACACAACAATAAAAAAATGATAAAAAATTTGAAAATTAATATTTGCTTAATACTTTAATTATATTATTGCTAAATGCCAGACATGAAGAACATTATTATTAAATTAATTATTATTATATACCAAGGATCATGGAAGTTGGCAGCCTTAGCAAATATAATATATTGCAAATCTATGAATAGTATATTTATTGACATGTTTTTCTATTTATGAAATATGCTGAGGAATTTAATAAATCATATAGCATTAGAATAATGAAATTCCTTATTCCTTTTCTTTTTGCTTCAAGAAGCTAAAATAAAATAAATTACACATGGTGTATAATATTTTTGAACCAAATTATAGTTTCAAGGGAAGAGATTAATGGTGCTTGTGGAAAAGTTTTGTTCTATTTTCCAACAAAAAGGTAGGAAATATTTTCTAAATGGAATTTCTTTTGAAAACTATTCAAACAACACTTGTATCTAGTCTTTTTGGATCATAATTTAAGGCATACTCGTAGTGCGTATAATTTGTAAGTTTATCAATTTCAGAATAACTTTATGTGATATTTGAAATCAGACTCGACACTACAAAGCCTTCAAATAAAATATCTTGTGTCATATGTCTAAAATTCAGTCATTTTTCTTGAATTTCAATTACATGTTAAGTTTCATATAATTATTGTAGTCTATGTATTTTGAAATAAGGTACCTCATAAAACTTTTCAAAAACATACAAGTCAAGTAAACTAGGGTATCTATCCAAACTTAAGCGAATTGGATGGATCATATTATATGTATCAATTTTGTCACCCCTAATTATAAACTTCTAATATACATTCTTATACTTTTCAAACCCCTAGTGAAATTGGAGAATTTGAAAAGACTCTAGAAAAATCTATCAAAAAATAATAAAGAAAGATTTTAATTCTATGTTTAAAAATAACTTCAAATATTAAAGTCAAAAGAATAGGAAAAGACTCACGAAAACCATTTACATAAATTGCAACCAAGAGAATAACAAAAATACTTTTAGGTAAAAAAAACAACCTCGATGTAAACTTTAATAACATAAATTTAAATTTGGTCGAATTCTAATTGCAGTCACCTAAAGAAACTAGGTTATTTCCATTTCCATGAAGTGTAACTAATTGTCCAATTTTTCCAATTCCAATTGTTGTTAAGTTGTAACTAAAAATTTAAAATAGTAAAGACTAGAGAATGACACAAAATGCAGAAAAAAGAATAATAATGAGTTGATGAAATGAAAACTTAGAAGAAAAAAAGACAATGGCATGTGGGCAGTTGTGTAATTTGCTGGTAATTGAATTGATGGTTGGATTTAACAGGTTATAATAATGATGATGAAGAAGAAATAAAAAATAAATACAGTAAATATTTCAGAGAATATATAAAGTTGCAGAATTAAATTATTATTAATAAAATAAAAACTGGTAAAAAAATCAGGTAAAATATCCGGTTGTAATTCAACAGATAAAGTACATTACATACTTCAGAAATATAGAAGAATCCATAAACTTATTTCTTCTGAGTTTTATTTTTTTTAAATTCTCACCTAGTGTTCGGAACCTATATTAGAGCTTCGAATAAATTTGGATCGCATATTGCAGGACCCATTCGGGAGTGACACTCCAACAAGATTTTTTCTAGGGAAAAGGGTCTAATATCAGAGGCGAAGCGAGGATTAAGAGTTTGAGGTTCTAAATTTTGATAATAACCGTCAATCAACTTTATTAGGGTTCACAAATTAATATACATAAATATTTAATTAATTTTCTAATACAAATATAGGGTCTACAGAAAAGTTGTTGGGTTCGTCCGAACTCATAAACCCTCACCTAGCTCCGCCTCTGTCTAATATACTCCTCAATTTTGTTATTTAGAGCTAACATACACCTCGTTATGAAAGTGACATATATATACCCCTATTGTTATACAAATGACTCACATATATACAAAGGACATATCAGCTCCAAACGACAAAGTTGAGAAATATATATTCAAAATTCAAATTCGAAATATCTCTAATTAAAAATAGAGCAGTCCACTACTGTACCATAAAACTCAGGTTAGCATTTCTTCTTGATCTTTAATTTCTAGCTTTTGTTACATCTAGCCTGCAAAATTATTATTTTTTCACTGTTCATTTCAAGTCTGTAGCTTCTGTCAACAAACGTTTTGATAATTGGGATAGAGAGAATATGATCAGTAAAATAATTGAGAGAAAAATCTGACCTACAAACACATGTTACGCATGTTTACTTAGGCACACTTAAAGTTGAATGATGCATAAATAATAGATAAAATCAAATTTAATGATACATTTATGTATAAATAATTGATGATGAAATGGTAACTAACTATTATTACGTGTTAAATTCATTAATAACTTAATATAAAATAATATTAACGATGTATATGACTTAAATAGTTATAAAATGGCTCATACAAAGCCAAATTATTTCCACTTTTTTTCCCTTCCAAATGGTGGGGGAAGGGAGGAAGATATGCTTTGGACTTCAAAATATTGTGGCCAACAGAGATATGTGGGTTCAGAATTCTGATATAATTTTTTTAATATATTTATAGCTCGAATAATTGTGCTTGACAGGAATATATGTGTACTTTATTAAAGTTCTTTTTTCATCATAGGGA